CCCTAGAAACTATGAAACTATGAAACTATGAAACTATGATTTGGCTGAATCTCATTCAAAGATTCGGCTGCCACTGAATCAGAAGAATCTCCTAATCAAACAGGCCCTATTCCCCGCCGGCTCTCCCAGCCCCATCAATGGGTGCCCTGCACAGCCCCAGCATCTTGGCCCTTAAAAAAAAAAAAAAAAAGCCCTGCACTCACCAGCTGCTGCCAGGCAGGGGGGCAATCCCCGCTGCCATGAGCCCCCAGAAGCCCCGACAGCTGCTGCAGCAGCCAATGAGAGCAGGGCATTATTTTTTAAGAGCTAGGGTGGGTGGGGCAGCCATGAGGGGCTGGAACAACGGGCAGGGGTTGGGAGGTGCTCGGGGGGCTGGGGGAGCAGGCAGGGGATGGGGTCTGGCGAGGGTCCCTCCATGGTCCCCTCCCCCCTCCTCCAGACCCCACCCTCGCCCTCTACTTACTGGCAGGGAGTCCGGGTCCGGCTCCCTCCGGTGGTGAGCGGGGACTGCCTGAATCTCCGAAGCTTTCAGGATATTTTCTGAATCTATTTGGAAATCTTCAAATTGATTCAGACCTTTTTACTTGTTTTCTGATTTGATTCAGATTCAGAAATTTGACCACCGAATTGGGCCGAATGTTCTCCAAACTGAATCAGCACCCGAAGCTTTGCACAGCCCTAAAAATCTACATTTTTCCATGGGAAGTGGAAAACCCAGATCCCTGCTCATAACACGCAAAATCTAACATGCAGACCAGGCAAAATCTAACTTCATCAAATTATATCAAATTTTGAAGTGTCATATGTGTTGCCTTCTTTTGACCCCATACAGGCACAGAACATCTCAACCAAGGGCAAAGATCAATAGGGATACAGCCATGTCTTGAGGAAAAAGGAATCCTCTTTCACAAACCTGAGTTGGTGCCACACTCATCAGGGTCACTTACTTTTGTTTTCATTAGTTCCATTTAGATTAAAGCACAGTTTTCAAACATTGGCCAAGCACTGAGGTGCTGCCTTCACCTAAGCAAAGGAAGTTCTCTCTCTCTTTTGCTTTACCTCCACAAAGCAACAGGCCCTTTGTGTTTAATTACCAGATTAGAAAACAATCAACTCTCACCCAACCAGACTGGCTAAAGAAGCTTTGAAGGGTACGTTCTCCCTCATCCCACAGGCACAACTTCTCTTGATGCCAGGTAGAGAACATGGTCCTCCGCTCAGTTTCAAATCCACATAATACACTACGAGGAATGATATTTAATGTAGCATGTGTCTCAGTTAAAAGAACATAGTTGCGTATCAGATTCTACAGGGATAAGCATGTAACATGCACTCACACCTCACATCTTAGGAACAGGATGGGAAGAGACCTCCTGGGTCAGTAGGGCCCTGGGCACATGTTACATTTAAGATGTGATTAACCTGTTAATTGTACCTTAAAGTGTAACCCAGCCACATGTTCAAGTCAATTTGTACTGTTATAATACAGCAAAGCAGCCACAAAGTTATTTTACATAGAATGTGTAACATCTTTGTGTGCATTATATCACACCTTAAGTTGAACATGTTGAACAAGCAGGTGTGGGACTGACCCATGCCAGATGCTGATGCTCAGCTGAATGCTGGGACCTAACATGGGGCAGCCCCTGGGTCTGGGGCACAGCCTATCCATTCAGGCTGGAAGCAGAACTAGTTTCAGACCCTGTCCCTACCCCACCAATCCTTAGAGGCAGGGGGAAAGAGGAGGTGCCATGAACCCAAGATCAAGGAGCATCTCTCTGATCTTGGGGTCACTATGCAATAAATCTTCACACACAGATTTTAAAGGTCCTAGCAGGCTGGTACCTCAGGACCAGAGAACCTCTCCCTGAGCCCAGGGTCTCCATGCACAAGGCATATCAAAAAGCTGCACATGCAGCCTAGCTACACAAGTGGTTTTCAAAGGTTCCCAGGTGCTGGAACCTTTAAATTGTGCCTTCTGCCATGTACAGTACATGCAGATGTCACTGCTGCAGTCAGGGATTAGATCCCGTTGTGCTTTAAATGAACATCTGTCAGTGGTTTAAGTCCAGTTTCCTACTATGCATAGATAACCACATCATATAATCCCCATGACATGCAAGCTGCATCATAAACCTAGGACATTTTTTGCATTCATGCTACTTCCATTGGAAGGCCATTACCAAAGAAAATACCTTTGAGAGTTAGAAACCTCCTTTTAATTTCAGCCAGTCCATGCCCATTTGTTCCTGTCTAATTTGCCTAAGCACAAGACAACATGGGGAAAAAAATCCCAAAGGGAGGAAGACAGCCACCAGATCTATTTAGTGGTTCATTTTGTCAATGCTGGCTGCATCAAAAGTTAAAAATCCCCATGATGCAATGAATTTTGCAATGTTGTCTTATAAAGGGAAACCTTTCATGAATGCTGCAAAAAACAAAGGGTGAAAATGTGAAACCATGAAGTCATTGTCAATATTCTCATTGACTGCAGCATGGCTGGGATTTCACCTACAGTGCAGAAAAGGATGTGGCATAGGATCACAGGACTGGGAAAGGACCAGTAGTCCTCCATCATAGTTGAGGAATGGAATCACAGACAGTTATAACAGACATTTAGTCCAAAACGGTCCACAGGAACATCTATCGGGGCATTCTGCTGCACAGCCACAAAACATCGTCACCATCCCATGGGTGGTACAAAAAAAACTAGAGCCTCAAAAACCACAGTGTGCTACGGAAAGAAAACAAGAGAGACAAGGGCCCTGCCAGGTAAATTTGCTAGGTAAAATATGCTCAGGTGATGCTACAAGAAAGATGCTCCCCATGTGGGCTCCGGCAAGGTAAAGAGAGAGAGAGTGGGTGCATGCACAATGTGGGAGCTGCTTGGCCAGCAGGGCTTGGTGGGGCAGGGTCTCTGCATTGGGAGTGAGGAGCACCAGCAAGGGGTGGGGGGCAGGGTATTGGTGTTTGGGAGTGAGGGACACTGGCAGGGCTGGCGTCAGTGGTCCAAAGTGAGAGGAAGAAGCAGGGCAGAGGAGGTGTTGCTTGTCAGTGAGGGGCAACAAAATGGGCACGGGCAGGGCACCAGCATGTCACCACCCCCATCATATTCCCCCTGCTCCCCCGTGACACGTGCCCTCTTTTTTGGACCTGGAAATATAGTAACCCTAGGCAAAGTCCTTCTTGACCTCAAATCTGGTGATCAGTTTAACACAAAGCATATGAACCAGAATGACCAGCCAGGCACCTGAAACATTTCTTGGTACCATGAGGAAAAAAATATCTTACCACCAACTTCTCATCTCAGTCTGAGAGATCAGCAACATTTTGTACACCCTCAGCTTCACAGTTCAACATTTGCAATTCAAGCAGTTGATAGTAATAACTCAAATCCTAATTCTACTTCTCTGGAACCTGATGGCGAAAATTCAAATGAGAGCAGGGGACATCCTTAACAGTACAGTGGGAGTAGGCTGGGACCACAATGCATGGTAACTCCAGCTTTTTACAGCGTAAAAAGCAAGCCCAGGTCTTTACTAATGGAGATAATATTTCTGTGTGCCTGGTGCGGAGCTAATAGGGAGACAAGCTTCTTACCAGAAAAAGAGAACGCAGTAATCTCTCTCATGTGCGGGGCGGCAGCAGGCGGGCGGTAAGCAATCTTGCCCTTGTTAATATCTGCCTGTGTGAAATACTTGATGGGGGAGAGAGGCCTGTCTCTGTGTTCCACCACACCTACAGAGGCAGAGAGCTGAATGTTAACGAGAGAAATCAATTTTATTTTTAACATCAAAGGCTCAAGGCCTTGACACTTCCCCTTTCCTCCCCTTGTACTGCTTTTTATTTCTTTCCTGCTCTGTCTCCTTTTACTGTATCGTTCCTCATGTTATCCAGAATGGGCCACCTGGTGATAGTCCATCTGGCTATAATTGCACCCAAAACAGATCTTCTGGACCAACAGAGGACATCAGAAATTAAACAGACTCCTAATTTAGTCAACTCCACACTTGCTTATAGTTAGAGAGCTGGAAGGGGCAAAGCCATTGTGTGCAATGTGCAATATATTTCAGACATGGATATTACAGGATATCAGCCAGGCTACTGCTCAATTCTTTGCAACCTTAAGAAAAGAGGCAGAGAAACAGAGTATCTGAAAGGATGTGAAGGGGGATAGACAGCTGAAGATGGCAGACAGATCTACAGACAGATACCTGAGATAAAGTTACAGAGGTCAGAAGAAATGGCAATAAAAGCACAGCACTTCTTAGCCCCAGTCCTACCTAAGATTTGGTAAAAAAAATAAAAAAAAAAAATAA